GGGTGGGCAGTGGACTGGGCAGGAGGTGGGCGGCCAGCGTCCTGGTGAGCTGCTTCTGCAGGGCCAGCTTAGACTGCAGGGAGACAGCGGGGTCGGGCACAGCCAGAGCCCAGGGTGCCACCCGAATCCTCCTCCCTGCCCACCTTCAAACGCCACCTGTCTTCCTGCCCCAGGGAGGATGACCGTGGGTGGGGGACCGGCAGGGACGCGGTCAGCTCCCCGGAAATCAGGCCCCGTCTGCACGGTGGATACCTTGAGGACACTCACGGCCAGCGCTGCCTGCTTCTGGAGCTTGCTCTGCCAGCTGGGGGGTTTGGGGGGTTTGGGGGGCTTCCCCGCCAGGCGGTCTTTGTGCCTCCGGCTGCTCAGGTGCTGATGGGCAACGACAGACAGACTTGATGACTCCCGCCCCGCCCCGCCCCGGCCCCGCCCCCTGCTCCGGGTGCCCTCCCTGGGCCCCGGCCCGTCTCCCACCCAGCCCCACCTGCTTGAGCTGAGTCTCCGAGTTGACCTGTAGCTGACACAGCGCACACTGGAAAGGTGGCCTGGGCCCCTGCCGGCCACCCCGGACCTCCGCCACCCTGCCGGCCTTGTGCCCGGCTCCTGCCCGGGACGCTGGGTGGCCCCGGCCCCTGCGAGGAGCCCCCCGCTGACCCTCCACCGTCCACCGGTGCCTGGCCCCTGGAGGGTGGAGAACAGTCGTCAGTACCACAGGGGCCCAGGCCATGGAGACCCCAGCTGAGATAGGCAGCCCCTCCATTTAACCATCAGGGCCACCCTGCCCGGCAGTCCTGCCTTCCCGTGTGACGGAGAAGGAGCTCTCGCTGTGTAGGCCAAACTCGAACTCATGGCCTGCCTCAGCTCCGCGGTGCAGGGACGGGCATGCACCACCCCCTGGCCGTGATGACCTCCCTGCTGCTCATGATGTCTCGTCCCCCAGGTCCAGGCGCTGACCTGTGTTGTGGGCTTGCAGCTGAGAGGCTGAGTTCACAGTCACCCTGCAGGTGGGGCAGTAGAGGCGCCCCTTCTCCCGGCTGCCTTCCCCGCTCCTGCCGCTCCCTGCAGCTGCCGCAGCCGCAGGCTCAGGCCCTGGTGCCTCCCTGGCCGGCGCTGGGGAGCAGGGTGGGCAGGAGGAGGCAGTGTCCATCGAGTCCCTGTGGCCCAGCTCCTGGGATGGGGACTCCAGAGTCAGCGGTGGGTGGTACGGAAGGCCGAGGGGAGGGGATGCAGGTGCTTCTGGGGAGACAGGAGGCACTGATAAGGGAGAACCCGGGCACCTTGAGCCCACTTAGGAGACCCTCACTGCTCCAATATAGGGTGTGTCCATGGATGGAGTACTATGCAGCAGTGAAAAAACTGACAGCCACATGCAACAATCTTAGATATGTAATCAGCTAACCAACGCTGACTAGCGCTCAGGAGAGGTGAGCGATCGATCGCCTGAGACCGAATTCTATGTACCCTGACTCACCAAGGTCAGGAGACAGCAATTTACTCTGAGCAGAACCAGGATCAGAGTTACCCTGGGGTGGGGGCTGATGTAGTGGGTTGAAGTGTCTCCCCTCAAATTCACGTCTCTGTGAGCTCAGAAAGTGACCTTGCTTGGAAATGGAGTCTTTACAGGTATGATTAGGTAAGAAGAGCTGCATGCAGTGGGAGGCTGAGGCAGGAGGAGGGCGAGTTTGAGCCCAGTTGGGGCAGCTGACAGACTTGGTGAGACCCTGTCTCAAAATTTAAAAATTAGTGAAGATGAGGTCACAGGGAGGCCTGGGGAAGTTGCTCAGTGGTGCCACTGCCTGCCTTGCAAGCACAAGTTCCTAAGTTCGATTGTGGGAACCACACACACATACACACACACACACACACACACACACAAAGGTGAGGTCACAGGGTGAGACTCAGACAGTGACTGCTGTCCTTGTGAGATGCCTTGGGACCATGGGGACAGGCGGCACAGGGACAGACTGGACAGACACAGAGATGGCAGCCAAGCAGGCTGAGGCTGCCCGCGACCACGGACGACAGGAGAGGTGGGGACAGCATCCTGCAGGGTGCAGGACTGCAGTCGTTTGTCACAGCCACCCCGGCAAGCTCGTGGCTGTGAGGGGCCCTGGGCCCTGGTCCAAGCCCACCGGACACCCACGTGCACAGGGCTGCCAGACCCAGGAGGAGGGTCACACCTGGAAGCGGCTCTCCGGGGTCACCTCTGACACTGGCAGGGGTCGGGGTTGGGGACACAGCCGTCCCATCCCGGGCCAATGTCTGTGGCCTCTGCTTGCTCTTGGCGGCTTCGATGGCCTTGAGTTTCCGGGCGTGTTTATGGCCTTTGTAGTGAGCTTCGGCCTGGTTCTGCGGACAGGAGGGTGGGGGTCACTGTCCCAGCCAGGGTCCCTGTGTCCCCACCACGAGCTGAAGTTGAGCCCCAGGGACAGGCCCGAGGGACACAGGGCCCGGGCCACACACGAGGCAGAATCTTGTCACTGTCCCTACGGTAGTACGTGTGTGGCCCTGAGGTTTATAGACTGTGTGTGGGAATTTGGGGGGTGGTTTGAGACAGGGTCTTGCTATGTACTCCAGGCTGGCCTTGAACTCATGGTGACCCTCCTGCCTCAGCCTCCCGAGTACGGGGAGTCCAAAGAGAGAGGCTGAGGGGAAGACTGGACACAAGGCCCACAGGCCCCTGGCCACTGTGTCCCTGGTCAGACTGGAAGGAAGAAGCAGCCCCAGGACTCCGCTCACCGCCGAGTTGAACCTCAGGTGACAGATGTTACAGGAAATGAACAGCTTCTTCTTCAGCGGGGCGGGGACCCCAAACGTGTGGCTCACAACAGCCTTCTGCACTGGGTCCATCTGAGGGGAGCAGAGAGTACACGTCCAGGTGGGAAGGGACCAACTGAGGGGACAGACAACTAAACCCACCGGAGATGCACCCCGCCCTGCCACCGGCGGGCTGGCCTGGTCCCTGCATGGAGGCCAGGAGGGACAGCGCCACCTGCACATTCAGGGAGACAGAACAAGGCTCTGGGTTTCTTTGGCATCACCTGCTGCCTTGCTGGCTTCAGCTCTGCGGTTTTTGCCTTTTTATTATTTCCTTTGTGTTTTGTATTTTGGTCTCCATTTGTCGTTCAGGCTGGCCTTGAACTCACTATGTAGCCCTGGCTGGCCTCAAACTCCAGGAGATTCTCCTGCCTCAGCCTCTCAAGTGATGGGATGACAGGAGAGCGCAACCACACCGGGCTAGACGGGTCCCATCTTGTCAGCTCTGCTGGCCTCTCTGCTGGCAGCTAGGGTCCAGGCCTGAGGCTCCCTGGTGCCCTTGCGTCCTTGGAACATTACCTTGATGTCTTCTCTCTTTTCCTTGTTTTACTATTTTTTCGCTCCCTGTCTTCCGGGCCTGGGCTGTCTGGTTTGTCCAGAGGAACTTTCTGGGCCCCCCTCCCGGAAGGGCAGAGGCTCCAGGACGGGATGGAGACAGCAAAAGGGCGTGACGGACAGGGCCTGAGGAAGTGGCCCAGGGCCCTGAGGTGAGGACAGGGCGCATCTGTCCACCCTGGAGGGACCATGCCCTTGGACAGCGCCCATGGACATGACAGCAGGACCGGAGCTAGAGGCCCTCCAGTGTCCCAGACCCTGACACCTCGACCACCCTGGAGGGCGGGGCAGGGGACCTCGCCAGGTGACTGAGCCGGGAGGGCGGAGTTCAGCATGGTCTCCTGCAACCGTCAGATTAAAAAGGCGCGGGTGGCTCCTTCTGCTCACCGGCAACTTGACGTCAGAGGACACCTGCGCATGCGCACACACGCACACGTGCAGTCGGGAACAACACGGCACAAGTTCACACGTTTGTGCACTAGCAGAGCCTGGCAGACACACAACCCAGGCAACACAAACACACACACTCTGAAGTCAGACACACGCCAAACGCACCCAGAAGGCACAGGGACACAGGAAACCCCAGATAAGCTGGGGCACGCTTCTCAACCCAGCACTGGAGAGGCTGAGGCGGGATGGTCACCATGAGTTTGAGGCCAGCCTGGGCTACACAGTGAGTTCGAGGCCACCCTGAACTGCACGTGGAGAATCTCAAAAAAAAAAAGTGTTGATTACAAACAGGCACAAAGACTTGACTACGAGTACTCAGGACACCAACACACAAACTCACACCTACATAGAACACA